CTTTGGCCATCTCATGAGAAGAGAAGACTCCCTGGAAAAGACCCTGATGTTGGGAAAGTGTGAAGGCAAGAGGAGAAGGGGAGGACAGAGGACGAGATGGTTGGACAGTGTCTCTGAAGCTACCAACATGAATTTGACCAAACTCTGGGAGGCAGTGGAAGACCGGAGTGCCTGGCATGCTCTGGCCCATGGGGTCACGAAGAGTCAGACATGACTAAATGACTAAACAACAAAACGGCAAGGCAGGCTTCATAGCCCCCAATCCACCAGTCCCCAGAGTAATCTGTTCCCTCCTTCCAGACCAGCAGCACCCTTGGGACACAGAGTTCTTCCTAGGCCAGCAGTCAGGGGCAGGCAGCGGGTCCTCATTTGATCAAACATGGCAGAGGGGCCATGTGGGATCATTTCACAGCGCTCAGTGATGATCCATGGCTGGCACACTGCAATACCTGCCTTGGGGTGGTCTGGAGGGGGTCAGACCCCAGGCATCTGTGCTCCTCCGCCGACATCTGGAGAGGCGCCACTCAAGGCTCCTGTCCAGGGAAGGCACTTTGTCCACACCGTCTGGGAGAGGGGAAAGAGCAGCTCCAGGGGAGGCAGCAGGAGGCACCTCCTTTCAAAATGGCAGCCACAGGGGTTTCTGGGGCCGGGAGCATGAGGCAGGCCACACTCCATGAAGTGGCACCCATTGGGTCTGCCATGACCCTCAGCCAGTGGTCGAAGGACAAGTCACAGCAGGTGGCCACTTGTCTCGTTGCTGAGACAATCGCCCTGCTTGGACTCCCACTGTCCATTGTGGAATCCCAAGCCTTCCGCCAGTTGCTGCTTCCCTTCTGCCCCCATACAACCTCCCCTCACTGAGTATTCTCAGTTCTAGAGTGCTGCCCCCACTCTATGACTCTGTGAGGGAGATGGTCCATGACCATTTTTCACGGGTACAGGAGCGCAAGGTGCACTTCACAGCGGACCTGTGGAGTGGAGGTCAACATGGCTACCTCTCACTCACAGCCCACTGGTGGCAGCCAGAGGACTTGAATAGTGCAGGGCATTGGTGACAGTGCCACAGGGGGAGGGCCTTGTCCTACTCCCAGGCTACAGGTCTGTTCTGCTGCAGGTGCGGCACATGGAAGCTCAGGCGATGGGGAGGAACATCACCAATGAGTTCCTGTCTGCACTACAGGAGTGGGCACCGGAGGGTGAGGTGACTTGTGGCCACATGGTCACAGATGCTGGGTGGAACATGTTGGCGGCATTGAATGAGGTGGGCTTTGAGGGCATCATATGCATGGCACACAAATTACACCTTGTGGTGTGCAATGTCCTTGGCCTGGGCAGCCACATCATTGTCCACATGGTCACAGATGCTGGGTGGAACATATTGGCGGCATTGATGGGATGCAGGCACCCCGGAGACGTGGGCATCTTGGAGCAATGCTGCCAACTGGTGGGCCACTTCTCCTGTAGCGTGAAAGCTGCCTGCTAGCTGTGTGACAGGCAGGAGGAGTTGTGTCAGGAGACACACGTTCTCCTGACAGACCTGTCCACCAGGTGGAACTCCACCTACACCATGGTGTCCTGCCTGGTGGAGCAGAAGGCCGTTTTGGAGGACATCATGTCCTCCATGCCCATTCTGCCTGGGGGGAGAGAGGCGGGCATCAGTGCCATGGATTGGCTGGCCCTCTCCCAGATGGTGGAGGTGCTCAAGCCCTTCCTGGAAACCATGGACATCTTGTGTGGTTATACAGCAAGCCTGGGGCAGGTCATCCCCCTGATTCATGCCCTCGATGCGTCCCTGGAGACTGCTGTGGCACCAGGATCCTCCCTCCTTCCACGGACCAGGACTCTGGTTAAGAGGTTGCAGGCAGGCCTGCAGAAGTGACTCCATCCTGTCTTCAGCAACAGAGCTTACCGCATGGCCTGCCCGTATAATCCTCAAATCAAGGGGGCTTGGCAGCTCGCACCTCAGACTTTGAGGAGTGGAGAACAGAGCTCTCCACTGAGGTCCGCAGGGCGTTGGGGGCACAACACTTGCGTGGGGTGACAGGAAAGTCAGGCCACGAGGGGCAGGGTGGTTTGCTCAAGCCGCAGGGAAGGACTTCACCTGGTGAAGGCTCCCTTCACCACCAATATTACTGGAGCTCTGTGGTGACCTTGGCACTTGTCTTAGAGGA